GCCCGCCGCAGCAAGTGCCGCATCCGCATCGGGGGGCACCTGGAGCGCTGGTGCCGTCTCAAGGAGCAGCTCGGCTTCGCCCTCCACTCCCAGTTGGCCCAGTTCCTCCTCGACAGGTCAGTGTGGGAGAAGCGGGGCTGCAAAACCCTTAAAAAAACCCCTAAAAACCCGTGGGATGGGGAAGAGAAAGGTTTATGCTCGCTCACTCTCCCCCTTCGCACCACAGGTACAGCTCCCACGGCTGCGTTTGGAGGCCCGCAGGTAGGTGCTTCCTACCCCAAATCCACGTGAGCATCAATTATTTTGGGTCCAAAAGAGGTTTATGGTGAAGAGAGAAGATTCTCATTACATGGAGCACTTGGCTGCTGGAGATGCTCACCTCCCAAGCAGGAGGCATACCACTCCCTGGGTTTGGCTGTATTGGGACTGTTGGTATCCCCAGCTCTTTTTGGGGAGGGACTATTTGAGATTTTGGGCGTTGCGAAAACAGAGAAACTGTTAATATGGTGGAAACATCAGATCCTGCATGAGATGGTGGGGAAAGTGGAGGGAGACCCTTGCAGATGTCCCACCTGCCCTACACTGGTTTTACACGATGGAGAACAACCAAAAAGTCCAAGTTTGCAGCAGGTTTTCACCGATTTATCTGGGTTTTGTGCCTTCACCAGGTGAGCCGGAGCCCAACCTTCTCCACGCCGATGCCCTGCAGCGCCTGGTCGTCCTGTCCCATGGTCATGGCCAAGAATGTGGTTTCATCCCTGACGTGAAGCTCCCGGTCCCAGGCAGCACGTCCCAGCTGGTGTGGGAGTGCGTGGCCGGGCACAGCTTCTCCTGGGGTGTCCCTGAGGCAGCAGGGGACTGTACCCCCACAACTGGCCACCATGGAGAGGAACAACGGGGGGACTCGGGGTGCAGCTCCCCACCGGCAATTGGCCGCCGGCGTTCGCTCCGGCGAGCAGGGCTCGCCACCAAGTCCGGCTCTGGGAAGGGCGAAGCCGAACCAGAGGGAGCAGCTCGGTCACCTGTTGGTGATGGGGACCAGAGGGAAGAGCTGGGAGCTGGTAGTGATGATGGTGATGATGGCAACGCAGGTGAGCTCCTCTGTGTCCTCTTCTCCATCCTCATTTCCCTTGATTCCCCATCTTCAGCCCTTCTCCCAGTCCCATCAACCACCTTCCCGTTGGGATCAGGTGTTGCCCCAGCCCTGTCACCTCCCTCTTGATGCAGATTTGACAGCACCGTCATGTAAAACAAATTTCTGGGCCTTTGCTGGAAAAACAGGTAGAGTCGTCTCCCACTGGGCTTGTTCCTACCACAAAACAAGCCCGTATCTTCGCCGTCCTTTCCTTCCCCTGGAAAAGCAGAGCTGGGGGACCTCAGGTTCCTTACAGGCGTTGAGCAGAAGACCTTGCTGAGCCCAGGCAGATGCAGCTCTCTGTAGTTTCCAAGAGCCACAGCTCTTGTCGTTTACCCAGGCTGAAAACTGAGGAGAAAAAAAAAAAATCTGTTTTTTTTTTCCCCATACAGTGCCCTGTGGTAGCCTCTTGAGAAGAGGTTGAGCTTCTTCCAGTAGAACATTTTGGACTAATTTGACCCTCATTTCTTCTGGTCAGTGGGATGGCACCACGCAGCTCCTTTCCAACACCTGCAGGCTTCCCAATCCTGCTGCCAGATCCATGCCCCATCCTCCTCCTCCTCCCTCCTCTGCCTCTCCCACCATCCGAGCTCAACCAGCCCCGCTTCAACCCCCTGCAACTCCTGTCGTCTCCTTGCAGCTCCCCATGTGCCAACGGAGACAGGGACCACGGCAAAAGATCACGAGAGGTGAGTGGTGGCATGCGTGAGTCTTCCCCCAGTGTGTAACCAGGCTCTTCAGAGCGGAAGGTCATGTTTGGACCCATCCATCTCATCCCTTGAGTTCTCTAACGGGCAGCCAACGTTTTAATGAAGACCTACCATGATTAAAACCCGTTGCGGCAGAGTTGACTTTGGTCGTTGTGTTCCTTGCAGCGTAGTTGTCCCAGAGGAGAAAGTGGAGCAGGGGGCTGAGCCCCAAGAAGAAGAGGAGGAAGAGGAGGACGAGGACTTTGCTGAGGATGATGACCTCACCTACACCGATGACCTGCGAGATGAGAACTACCACCCATCTCTGGACAGGTGAGGAGCACTTAGAGCTGCTGGGAAGGAGCCCATGGACTGCGATCAGGTGAGAGCCACTCCACAGGCTCCCAGTCACATTGTCCCAATCCAGATGGGTATCGCACTGGGAGGGTTTCACACTTCACATCTCTGCCACACTCTTGTCTTGCTACAGCTGACCTAGCAGAGGTGGGAGGAGATGGGAATAATGGCCTTAGGTCACTTCAATAAGTGCTTCTGGGCTCAGAAGGGCACAGCCTTTTGGGGAAGCACCTTCTTTAACTGGGTGAGGGTCTTTGCTATGTCCAACCACATCCAGCCAATGTCCTACCACGTCCAACCATGTCCAGCCAGTGTCCTACCATGTCCAACCAATGTCCTACCACATCCAACCACATCCAGCCAATGTCCTACCATGTCCAACTGTGTCCAGCCAATGTCCTACCACGTCCAACCATGTCCAACCAATGTCCTACCACATCCAACCACGTCCAGCCAATGTCCTACCACATCCTACCACATCCAGCCAATGTCCTACCATGTCCAACCAATGTCCTACCACGTCCAGCCACGTCTGACCACATCCAACCATCAAAACCATCTTGCCTATCCCATCTCTGTCTTCTCCCCCAGTGACTCTGAGCCACAGCGACGACAAAGCCAGACCAAAGCCCGTAAGAAACCTGTAAAGGAGGAGCAGCCCCCAAATGAGCGGAGCCTGACCAGCTCCAGCCCATCGGAGGAGAAAAGCGAACGAGTCAGGTGAGTTGTGACAGCCACGCTGGTGTGGTGACGCCGGGAACAGGCATCAGGGTGTCTGTCTTGGGGCATCCATCTCTCCGTGGCCACTGAATGAGCGTTTTGGGGCATGTTGGAGATGCTGCTGCTCTCCATGCTGAGAAACTAGGTGGAAACCATCCAACCATGATGTTCAAGCCCTGAGCTCTGGGCAGGGCAAGAGCTGCGTGTCCCCAAGGGGGGTTTAATCCTTCTCCTCACGGTGCCGTCGTCCGCAGGGCAGAGCTACGTTGCTTGGCCTCGTTGGGTGTTGCAGCTTGCAAACTGGGGAGGGTCTGGCACGTGGATCTTGCTACGAGGGGGCTTAATGAGTCTTCATTTCGTCCGCTGTGTCTCTCATGGAGCTGGCCCCCATGCTCGAGTAGCCAGGGAACAAGGATACGCTGCTTGGGCAGGGGTTGAAGCCCCTTTAAACCACCACCATGGTGGGCGTTGAAGCCCTTCTTTCACATATATAGAGCCTCCAAGCAGTCTGGAGGTTTGCAGCAGCAAAAAATCCATACGTTCCACCCCCTGCGTAAGCACAGAGACTCCTGACTCCATCTATAGATAATGGGGCTTCTCCAGCAGCCAGAGCAGCTCTGTATGGTCCAGCTTATATTGCCCAGCTGCAAAAGCCCATGGGGAGAGGTGAGTAGCAACACCAGTGCTGCCAACCTCAGGTGTTGGTCAAGGGACAGCTTGATAACGACCACGATTATTTGATTTCCAATCAGTCTTTACCACTGCCTGTTTAAGGCTGAGGGTTAGGTTGTAATCTTTCCTTCCCAGCTACGTGGGCTCAAAATTCACTTTTCTGTTCGAAATAAGCTCAAATCATCGCTCAATTATTTGCTGGGTCTTTATGGAAGAGTATTACGTAGAGGTTGATCTCGATGCTGAAACAAGCAGATGGTCCACGCGTTGCCTCTTGGGTCTGACACACAAGGAGACATCACCTTGCTGGATTTTCTTACGCTTTTAATACGCCGAGGGTGTTAAAACCCCCTTTTTCGCTGGAGTTAGCCGGAGTGACCACATAACACCGCCTTGTAACGCATCTTACCTTCATGTGCCCTATGAAAGATGGGACTGGCAGCAAAACGCACGCCCTAAAACTCACGTAAGTATTGTGCTGCTCCGTTAAGGCTTTTATTGATTTGCTTTTTCACTCTGATGTGGTATTGCCACTTCTTTTTGGTGCTAAACACCCTTCCCGTCTCCTTGCAGCTCTGAAACCACCTCACGGCTCACTGGAAGAGTGAATACCCTCCCAGAGACCCAATCCCAACAAAGGAAAACGTGACGGTAAATCTGGCATTTGCGCTTCTCCTCTCCCTGCCCATTGCTGGACATGTAGCACCGGAGGACACCAGGCTCTCAAATTCAGTTTGAGGGTGGAAAGGTTTGGGTTAGGTCTAGGTAGTCCTTGTTAAGGCCAAAAGTGAATTCAAAGAGGGATTTTTTTTCACATCTCTGGCATTTTTTTTGCATCCTGCACGATTTCCATTCAAAATCCTGGTGTTCGGACCTCCAAAAGTTCATCGGTGCCTAAAGATGCACCTGGAGATTTGCAGACGTGGCTGATGAAAGCAGCCATTGACTTTCCTGGGCAACCACCTTTTAACCCCCTCTCCAAATCCCTGCCTAAACTTTAGGTCAGCGCTGCCCTTTTTAAGGCTTTTGAGTAGAGAGATCATATTTACAAGCGTTTGATTAATTTCTTTCCCCTTTTTTTGTCACAGCAACTGGAAGAATGGAGATGAAATTTTATGAGCAGAAGCGAGAGCCTCCAGACTTCAGTGTGTTCATCCTCTTCTCACTTCCTAAAGGTAATACCCTCATGAGCCAATAAAACATTTTTAAGAGATTGTGGACAAAGATGCCCAGCCTTTTTTTTTTTTATTCAGTGCTGAAGATGTGGTCTGGCATTGTCGTCTATTAACGATCTCTTTATTTCTCCTCCCTACAGAAGCACGCCTGTTTTTTTTAACGTACCTTTCTTTAATTTCAGGATGTCAGCCAGAAATAGCTGCTGTTTCCATGGAGCTGCGGATAAATTATAGATCAAACGAGGCTGGCGTGAGGTTGACAGCAATCTTAAATGTCCTGGGACATACCCAAAAACCATGTGAAAGACTTTCTGTAACAAGTAATAAAGAATAAGTTCCTATTTATAATGTCTGAAAGGTGCATTTGTTAACATAATTTCCTGCTCCGATGGGGAGAAATACCGAATTCCCAAAATGGAAGAAATAAAAGAGAAATGTTTGCCCTGAGGATGGTTTTAATACTTGGAAACCCATCAGCTGCGAGGTTGGAGGAGCTTCTTGACTCTGTGCTTGGGGACAAAGAGCCAGGGACAAGAACTTCACTCAAGAAACTTCTTTCCCGTTGCAGCTGCAAGCGGCGAGCGCGGCCGTGCGACGAGGACGTGGCCCAGATCGGCCCGAAGAGGATCAGGTACCTGGGGCCGGCGGGGAAGGGGAAAGATGAGAAGGTGCAGCTCAGCCCTTCCATGGTGGGACACCCTTGGCAAGCAATGCTTGCTCTGACAGAAGCCTCTTGAAGGGCTTTATTTCCTTAAATTAAGCTTTTGATGTGTGGGTGAGAAGGAATTTGGGAGAGGAGGACTTAGCGGGGTGCCAAGTCCAAAAGCTACAGCTTTTTTGCCTCTCTTCCCCACTCATACTCACCGACGATGGTTTTCCACCTTCTCTCTTGCAGGAAGGCGGCAAAGCGCGAGATCCTCCTGTGCGACTTTGAAGGCTGTGGGAAGATCTTCTCCAATCGCCAGTACCTGAACGTGAGGGCGCTTAAATCCACTCCCAGTTTCTTCTGGGGCCACCAAGAGCTTTGGGAACCCACCAGATGGGTCAGGTTTTGCCTGTCCAAGCTCCCTTTTGGGCATCTTGGGCCGTTGTCCTAGAGCTGGAGTTGGGCAACCTAAATTGCCGTTGGCTTGTCACAGCTGGATAATAGATACGGGACTTGTTGGCCCTGGGGGTTGTTGCTGGAAGGTGCCCTTGGGCTTCCTCCAAGTGCAGCTTCTCAGCTCCGACCTCCTCTCTTCTTACTCCTCCTTTTTCTCCCCCAAAAACGACAGCACCACAAGAAATACCAGCATGTCCATCAGAAGACCTTCACCTGCTCGGAGCCCAGCTGCGGCAAGTCCTTCAACTTCAAGAAGCACCTCAAGGAACACGAGAAACTCCACAGTGGTGAGTCGGCCGCCTCTGTGCAGGCCTGTACCCCCTATATGATATATATATATACCTCCCTATACCTCCTCTCCTGCGCTGGTCCCACCTCTACTGGGCTACAGCCGACCATACCCACATCCTCACCATTCACATTTGCATCCCTGGTAGACGTTACTGCACCCGTTTGCTTTCCGCTCCCGAGATCTATCATCAATCTCTCGTGTATCAGCTCCGTTTCTGTGCTAGGAAAGCAGCCCACCTCCTAAAATACATCCTGAAAGCCCCCAGACTGCTCTTTTAGGCTGGATCAGTCCCTAATCTGATTTATTTCTGCTCCACAGACAAGCGGGACTATATCTGCGAGTTCTGCGCCCGTTCCTTTCGTACCAGCAGCAACTTGATCATCCACAGGCGCATCCATACAGGGGAGAAACCCCTGCAGTAAGTACCAGTCCCAGCAACGCAACTGCCGACTCTCCCCGTCGTGTTTCAACCCAAATTTAGCTTCTCAGTGTGTGGCTCCAGGAGAGAGGCAAGTTCCTCGCCGTGGGTAGCCAGAGGACTGGCTGCTGGGTTTGTTTTGTGTTGCCTAAAAGTTTTTGTCCCCCTGGGGCTGGGCTGCGGCTCTGATCCAGGATCAACTTCAGCGCGCGGGCTTGATTTGGAGAAGTTTCATAAGCTGGGACTCAACGAGAGCAACGCGTTTCCTTGCCTGGAGGGTGTGCTGAAGCCACGCAGAGCTAACGCAGCAGTGTGGGGCGGTGGCTTTGCTAAACCTACGTAAAATTGCAGCATCAAGATGAGGAGGGGCCAGTTCTCCCTCGTGCTTAATCCCTTGTAATACCTTTTTAAAATTTCTTTTACCTTGAATCCCGTTTTGGTTTTTTTTTTCCCCAGGTGCGAGATCTGCGGCTTCACCTGCCGCCAGAAAGCCTCCCTGAACTGGCACATGAAGAAACACGACGCCGACTCCTTTTACCAGTTCTCCTGCGACATCTGTGGCAAAAAGTTCGAAAAAAAAGATAATGTCACCGCTCACAAAAGCAAAAGTCACCCCGAAGTGCCCAGCGGACACCCTCAAGCCGAGGGGGGCCAGCGGCAGACGGTGCCAACACCACTGCCCAACTTCAGGGCAGGGATTCAGGCAGGGTCGGAGCACCCAGAGGCATCCAGAGCGTTGGCCACGGAGCCCCAGGAGATGCCGGGGTTTGGGGACGTCCTGGTGAGTGGTGGTGAACCGGAGAAGACCCCACCTCCCATTGCAGCCTCGGCTGAATATCAGGGGGGTATTGGGCAGGATCCAGGCATGCCCCGAGGCCGAGTGATGGACGGCGTTGACTCGTAGCAGGACTCATCCTCCAGTTCTCAAAGGACGGACCAGAGAACAAGGTGAAAGGATGCTGGACCCCGCGGCGCGTGGCAGCAGCATGTCCAGGTGCCAAAAATACAATGGACAGGCAAGGACAGGCACTTCCCAGGGGAAATCGCAGTTTCTCCACCAAAAACTGGGCTTCGCTCGCAGCAGCGTTGCCGCAGGCGGAGAGCCTCTTGCCTGGCTTCCTCACTGCGAAGAGGGAGCGTGAGGTTGCCAAAGCGGTTGGCAGGATGCTCATTAAAGACTTATTTTGTGTAAAAGTGGGGTTTCCCTACTTGCACCGGCCACCTCAGCACTCTTGCTATGAAAAACAGAGGTAGAAAAGTGAGATTTCTGTGTGTGCAGCCTGGCTCACCACCCAGGCCAAAGGTTGTCTGTATTCAGCACAATAAAAAAAGGGCGATTTAGGTCGGGAAGGCAACGGTAGGTGGAGGGGATCGAGGCTGTATCGGTTCTGGCCTCAGAAACAGGTGTTATTTAATCCAGTGATGGTTCCCCAAATCCTACACTACTTTTTATTGAGCCTTTTTTGGAAAGGATTGCAATATTTAAACAGGGTTTATCAGAAAAAAACCAAACCACCCAAAACTCTGCAAGTGTAGGCTAGAAGACACTTTTGACACAGATAAAGGGGCTGCAGGGAGGACTGAGCTCACCGGAGCGGCCGTGGGGCTGGCTAGCTTGGGTAGGAAACTCAAACAGCACTTGGGAGAACTAAAAATACCACGTTTTGGGGGAAAAGATGGGTGTTAGAGGTGAGTTTTCCTACTGCGATTCTAAGCATCCATGCCTTTTTTGCTTCTTGCTGCGACAAGGACTAAATCCCAGCTGCTGGGGAGGGGAGATGGAGCACAGCCCCCATACCCAAATGGCTAGTGGCTTAGAGAAACCAATAATGAAGGAATTGACCCCAAAAAGGGGGCTGCGAGGGCTACGGTGCAGAGATGCTCTACGATACCCCAGCTCTGGGGCATCTCCTTTGCTGCTGCTGCTGCAGATTTTTCTTCTCAGAGCAGAAATTGGGGGTGGATTTTGTGGGCAGGGGGTGAATGGGCACCCCAGTTTCCCCCCAGTACGATATAGCACCACCCCTCATCCACCCAGTCCCCCATGCACACATAGTTGACTGCATCCCCTCACAGAGAGTTTTTGTTGGTTTGTTTTTGGTTTTTTTCACCTCAAAACAGTATTTTTTGAGCCCTAAAAAGGGTGTGATGCTGCCAGGTGATGGGCATGGGCAGGGTCCTGGGGCGAAATGAGGACACCCCCGCTTCATGCAAGCCCCTAAGATCACTCCCCTAAATCCAGGGT